TATCAGAAGTTAAGACTCTAGATGGATAATTATTGGAAGACAATACGAATTTTTGTCATGATATGTGTGAGGACTAGCTGGGTCCAAATCATTTACCATAAAGAATGTGGCTTTTATAGCCTAAAATGGGTTGAAAAGGTTCTGTGTAAAGCTCAATTTGAGCTTATCATTACATTCAAATTGCTTATCGATTAATGGATAATCTGCCATTTTGATTTCTTGGAAAGAGTTCTGAAATGTTTGGAAATTGGTTTAGATGAAGTTGCAGTGCCATTGAAAAATTTACTGATTTGACTAGTTGGATGAGGGAATAATAGTGTGAACAGCTGGGCTTGTTTGATGGACCAAAAGATGGAAAAGCTATCAGTTTCCATGTATATTTAAAGATTACCTTGTTAATATCAGTAAGTCAGTGTGGATTTAATGGCACATCTAGGATCACTTATCCCCTCCTCCAGCAAGCAACATCTGTCCTTACATACATTTCAAAACCACTTCCCTGTGTGCCACTTGCCTGGATCAGATGACATGGGAGAAGTTACACCATATCATAAGCTGTTTGCCAACACTACTCGACCTTTCAAGATTATGTCTAAGTGTGTTTAACGAAAATTATTATTATGAGATGCCAAGATCTTTTAAATTGATTTTGTATGTATAGCGTGGTTTCTAACATCTTATGCAGACAATACCTGACTCTTCTATTTCTAAAGGTAAAATAGATGAGAAGGAGATCATGCAGTTCAGACATGCTGCTTTAGTGCACCTGCTGGTTACAGTTCGAGATCTTCTGTTAACATGTGGCTTGGACACAGCACTAGGTTTGTTTTCAGTAGTGAATCGTGATACTCAGAAAGTGAATGCATTATGTGTGTTCTGCAGTCTGTTCTTCATGTTTGTAGGCTGTGATTCCTTGCCATCAGTATACCTCCAGCACAGCTTCCATATGTTACTCAGCCCACGTTGCTTCCTTATTTCTATTCCATTGTTGGAATATAATTCACTACAGATTTTGCTTTGGTGGTGTATATGCTCAGTTCATGACTAATACACCACTGTTCATGTTATTACATGGATTTGCCTAAGAAATACTTATTTGAACTTCCACGTACATAATGTATTGTCTTGTACCTCAGAATGAGAAATTTTCATTGAAATCTCTTCATGTGGAATCTGATAAGCGTGCAAAATGGTAGGTCTTTTGTTGTTTACAGTCACCACCTACTAGTGTGGAACACTACCCACCTAACAAGTATTTTAGGCTCCTTGGAAACAAGGTACTTAAAACTGAGGGCATTTTAAGCAAAATCTGAAATATTATCAAACACATCACAAGGCAGGGAGTTTGAAATTACAGTCCAGTTCTTAGCACTGGATCCACACAGAACCTTTTTTTGAGCTTCTCTGGTGTTATGCTGTTCAGATTTGGAATATGAAAACTGCTGTAAGGCAGTGTTACGCCTGAAATGATAATGCCATGCTTGCCAATTTCTGAAAGCTGTGTATTGTGGATTTCCAGACAGATCTGTCATAACAGATCCATAAGGAGCTGAAGTCAGATTTTGGAGTGCCTTACAAAAGTCAGTCAGTCAGTCACTCCCTCTGTCTCTACAGGAGATAAAAGGGTTCAGAGCATCTAGCTTCAGTCACTCTGAATTATCCTTAGTGGAGGATGTTTCCTTAAAATTGATGTGAAATGGAAAACATCTGTCATAAGGCAAACTGTATATAAGTAGAGCCCTAAGCAGAATCATTTTCTGCAGTTACTATAAGTAACGTAGGAGGATGGCAGCAAAACAGATGAGAAATGCTTCCTCTTCTCTTATGTTGTAGCAAAAGCACTCCTGGATAATATTTCAAAATTGGGCAGCACCTGTCCTTCCAGATCCCAGCAACACTTCACACAGGAAACTACACAAGCAAAAAAGGATGGGACAAAATACTTAGAAAATTGTTCCAGCTACTAAGTAGGCCCTGTAGTTCTTACTGTTGTAATGTTGTGGTGTGGTGTGTGATTAATCACATAGTTATCTTACATGTAATTTTTTTCTTTATGCATTTTCAAATAACTCCGGCATTTTTCACCATTTATATACAAAACACATCATTCAGTCTTGAGGAATAGTTGTGCTAATATGAAGGGTGGTGAAAACACAGGACAAATAAAGCTTTGGACAGTGGAAATATAAATAAAGTTGTTATTTAGTATAAGCCCTATAGACTAGTTAAACATAACAGCACTGCAGCTGGTGTTTGCAGCTATAGAATGCAATGTTCTGAAATTCCAGCTGGAGCCACATACCAGACACAGCAGTTTTGTAAAGGCCCCTCATGTACCTGATTAGTAGTAACAGTATCTTCCATACTGGTGAGCCATTAAATGTTCATCTTTTCTGTGCAAGATACATTCACATAAATTGTAAATTTATGTATAGATTAAATACAAACCTTGCCAGTTATCTTTTGTCACTTGTCAATTACTTCTTTTGTTGCTTTATTAACAGTTTATTTGTCCAAGGCAAAGGATATCTATAAGAACATCTTAGAATCCTGTTTGAATAACATCTGGAGGCAGTTGAAGATTGTACAATATAGCAGCCAGAAAAAGCAAGAAACAAATCCCAAAATAACAGAGCTTCAGTCTCAAATGTTAAGTTGGATGAAGTGTTACGGAGAGGAACACAATGTTAAGGTTAACAATATAAACAATTTCTCTAAGCAAACAAAACTCCAAACTATGTGACTAATTATAAATCTGTCTTTCAACAAGAGTTGGTTTGTGGAGAAAAAGCCTTATAATTAATTACCTTTCCCACTCACAGCATTTGTTAAATGAGGCTAGCATAAAGTATACGATCTTGATGAGAAGCATCACTTCCTTTCCTGAGAAGAAAAATGTAACAGCTTATTGCACACCCTTTTAGAATTTAAAACAGGAATGAGGCAACCAAAACAAAATGTTATTGATTGTCTCGGTTTCTGTCCTGCAGTAGACTGTCTAAGATGACTTCAGCATAATTTTCTTATTTTGAGAGTGACAAATTTTTGTTACATTTGTGATATTAGGATTATGCTGTACTAGGGGACGTGACAACTTTCTCACCTTAATGACAACTCAGTAACAATTTTGCTTCTCAGCATCACTAGATAAGATTTTTAAAATTTTTAACTATAACTCTTAAGGTTTTGCTTGCTTGCTTGACTTAAACTTAAGGTCATGCAGGCATACCTGTGCAATATAAAAATATATGTGATTTTATTCACAATTAAAAGATTGTTTACTTTTCCCTAAGGTCTCACTCATTGAAAACAAAGGCAGGTTTCAATGAGTGAAAACAGGCAGAAGGAGTATTTTGGTTTTAATAAGTAAAAACTGTACTGAAAATGCCGTTTCCTTTTCTACCACATCACATCAGAATCAGTTAATATGATGTGAAATATAATAATCTGATTACGCTTTTATTAGCCAAAAACGTTACTAATGCAGGATTGTAATGGGTCTTTTCCTTGGTAAGCAAGAAATTGCAAGTGAAATAGATAAACTGAACTCTTTTTTTCATTATCTTTTATACTTAGGATTAGATGGAACATGACTAAAATGTCCAACAGCATGTAATAAGTACACTGCTGTATTGTGTGAAAAAACAGGTCTACATTTTAAAATGCAAGTTTGCAAAACTGCTTTGGAAGGAGCCAGTGGGTTGTCTGGTGCCTGTTCTGTGCACCAACAGTATGGAAAGGGAAATTTGTTTAAGCTTGTCAGGCTGATGGATATCCAGAAGTTCTTTTCTGACGAGATCTCACACTCTATTGAAGTTTATGTATGTAATTATATAGCATCTGTAACTCCTTAGAGTTAGACAATGCCATATGCCTCCTTGAAAATCTTGTATGCACCATGAAAAGTGTCTGTGCAGTGGCATAAAGGTTCAGAGATCATCCTTTCTGAAAGCATGATGTAAATCCTGTATGAGTGTACATATTCTTCTTTATATACTTCTTTACATACTAGCAAAAGTTCAGTTTGTATCAGCTGAAATGGTGGACAAGGTAAACACCTCTAGGAGTGCATTCTTTTTAAAACTATGTCAGTTTGATAGATTCTAATGCTTTTTGACATTTTCATCGTAAGCAGTGTTTAGTGAGTCTTAGAGATAAGTGATCTCTGGCAGGAACACTTCAGTTTACTCCATCTATGGTATGGAAAATCTTTCTAATTAGTTCAGCAGTACATCTGGTATCTCCCTCCAGTACACCACCATTTTGCAGGCTGAATTCTAGATATCTTCAGTTTAAGTTTTTTCCTCCATAGGGATAATGCCTCTAATGTGACAACATTTATCTGTCTAGTATGACAGCAATAATGTGGTGTAATGTCTTTAGAAAATATCTTTAAATAGCATTTTTACTTTGAATCAAATATGCCAGTTTAATGTTTCTTTTATAACAGCTTTGTTCATAAAGCTGAATTCCAATACTGATGTCTTCTATCATATTGCTTCTGCAAGTCTTGTAATAATGCACATACTCACCTGAGTTTCAAGCTGTTGGTGATAAAACTGTGAGGAAGACTTTCATTCTGGATATGAAGAGATCAGACTTGGGACTGCTGAAGGAGCTAGTTAGTAAGGTCCCCTGGGAATCTGCTTTTAAAGGTATTAGGGTCCAGGACTGCTGGTCACTTTTTATGAGCCATCTCTTAAATGTGCAGGAGCAGGCAATTCCAAAATGTCAGAAGTCAAGCAAGCAGGGCAGAAGGCCAGTTTGGCTGAGCAGGGATCTTCTTCTAGAACTTAGGCAGAAAAGGAAAGCATGTGGACATTGAAAGCAAGGACAGGTGACATGGGAAGACTACAGAGATGCTGTTCACCCCTGTAGGGGGAAAATTAATGTGGCCAAAGCTCAACTGGAGTTCAAGGTGGCCACCACTGCAAACACTCACAAAATGGACTCATTTAAATATGTGAACAGCAAAAGGAGAATCAGAGATAGAATTGGTCTGTTGCTTGGTGAGGTCCATCACCTCACAAACAGGGGCATAGACGTGGAGACATTTAAGGCCTTCTTAACCTCTGTCTTCAACACCAGTGATGGATTCTGGGTCCCTTGGAGCCCTGTGCTGGGAGACCATCACTGGGGGAGTGACAAATTCCCAGCTGACCATGAATTTGTTCAAGACTTGCCACTCCATCTGGATATGCGTAAATCTATGGGATTAATCCCAGGGTAGTGAAAGAGCCAATGTCATCATGGGACCTCTTTCCATTGTTTGAAAACTGTCTTGGGAGTCTGGAGATATCCCAGTTGACTGAAGCTGGCAAGTGTTGCCCCAGTTTTCAAGAAGGGCAAGAAGGAAGGTGATGGTTAATTACAGGCCTGTCAGTCTCACTTCAGTGCCTGCTAAAATTATGGAAAAGGTTATTCTGGGAGTTACTGAAAAATATTAGAGAGACAATGCAGTTGTTTGCCATAGACAGCATGGGTTCACGAGGGGAAATTTCTGCTTAGCTAACCTAATTTCCTTTTATAAGAAGGTCACTGGCCTAGTTGACCAAGGGAAGCCAATAGATGTGGTTTTCTGGGTTTGTAGCAAAGCTTCTGACACTGTTTCTCACAGTACCCTTCTGTACAAAATGTCCAGCACATGTCTAAAAAAGTCCATAATGCATTGGGTGGACAATTCCTGATGGGTTAAGCTCAAAGAGTTACAGTAAACGGGTTTACATCAGTCTGGCATCCAGTCACCAGTGGGATTCCCTGGCGCTCAGTTTTAGCACCAGTGCTCTTCAGTGCTTTTATAAATGATCTGGGTGTGGGAGCTGGATGTACACTGAGCGAGTTTGCTGATGATTCTGAATTAGGAAGAGCTGTGGACTCCCTTGAGGGCATAGAGGCCTTATAGAGAGGTCTGGATAGACTAGAGAGCTGGGCAATCACCGAGCGTATGAGATTTAACAAGAGTCAGTGACAGATTCTTCATCTGCAATTGGGTATTCCTGGTTGTGCATACCAACCTGAGGACAAAAGGATGGAAAGCAGCCCTGCAAAAAGAGATCTGGGGGTCTGGATTGATGGCAAGTTGAATATGAGTCAGCAGTGTGCTTTGACAGCCAAAATGGCCAACCATGTCCTGGGGTTCATCAAGCACACCACAGCTAGCCAGTTGAGGGACGTGATGGTCTCACCCTAAACTGCAGTGTTGTGGCCCCACCTCAAGTCCTGTGTGCAGTTTTGGGTGCCAACCTCAGTACATGAAGGACATAAAACTATTCGCATGTGTCCAGAGAAGGGCAATCAGGATGGTAGAAGGGCCTCAAGGGCAAGACTTAACAGGAGCAGATGAGGTCACTTGGTTTTTTCAGCTTTGAGAAGAAAAGGTTGAGGGGTGACCTCCTCACAGTCTCTAACTTCCTCAAGGAGAGCAGTGGATGAGGAGGTGCTGATCTCTCTTTGGTGACCAGCAATAGGAGCTGGGGAAATGGAATGAAGCTGCATCAGGGGAAATTCAGATTGGATATTAGGGCAAGGTTCTTCACTGGGAGAGTGGCTGGTCACTGGAACTGGGTCTGCAGGGAAGTGGTCATAGCACCAAGCCTTTGGAGTTTAAGGGACCTTAGTCATATAATTTAGTTTTAGCAGTTGGACTTGATGATCTTTATAGGTCCTGTCCAACTTGAGCTATTCTATGAATCTTTGATTCTGTGGTTGTCATTCTGGAAAACTCTGAGGTTTCCATTTTTGCCATGTACTTAATCTCTTGTTTTCTGTGGAAAGGAGAAAGGAAGATGTATGCAGGCTGAAAGAACAACTTTTTTACAGTATTAGAGTTTCTTTCACTTGTCTTCTTCTAGATACTGATCATAACAAGGATGGACTCTGAGAGAGAAAAAGCTGCCCTCATTCACACTTTATCTAGAGTAGAAGGTAAGTTATTATTCTTACATGTATTTTTAAAAAAACAGGGCTGTTTAATCTGTGCTTTGCTGTTTGTATGCTTTTTGTAGGTGTTTTGCCCTTCTCTCCTCATCAGAAAACTTTCTATAAACTTTTCTTGTTTTTTCCCATTTCCCGACTTTTCCATCAGCCTCTTTTCTTTCCTGTAATTTTACTGCCCCCTGATTAAGAGTTCTTGTATGATATTTTCTGTTGCAAGAGATTGATAGTTCATCTGTCAAGTCAGAGATTTATTTGACAGAACACAAAGGAGATGTGGGCAGCCCATTGCCTAATTATAATTACATCTGTTGTCTTGGTTAGACTGGTTTTAGCTGATCAGTGATCACAAGTTTTCTTTTTTGCAAGCTTATTAAGATCAGTTACAATTTCAAAGCCTTGGCTGAGCTCCCTAACATAAAACCTTGTATCATAGAATGTTTGGAGATGGAAGGGACTTTTAAAAGTCATCTAGTCCAAGCCCCACTGAGCAGTCAGGTACAGGTCATGATCTCCCTTAGCCGTCTGTTGCTCTCCTTGTTTGCTTATTTGCTAGAAGTGTAATCATAACCTGTAGCAATCTATTAAACACAAAGGGAAAAAAATGCTGTTTCCAATATTCCAGCCTCCCATTGATACAAGCAACACTTTCATCATACCATAGTTTAACCTGTGGGTAATTTTTGTACAGGCTTGTTCAGCACCGCAGACTCAACTGGTAAAACAAACATGCTTCAGGAAGACTGATACTTGAGCCTGTACTTGTGTTTAAGGCCAGCCACTGACTCCTTTCATATTGCTTTTTAAAACCCATTTTTGTAGCTCCTTCTTGCTTGAACTTTATCAACAGTGTCATGTATTGTATTGTTCTTCTCCCTTTAAAAATAAAGTTACATTTCCTGTGTTTTTAAAAGAAGAAAGCTTGTCTTTTAGAATGTTTTCAAAGGGAGGAGGCATGTTCACAATGCTTTTACTAATAATATTTAAATGAAAAGTATTTTATTTGTTTTAAGATCTTAAGACCTGGTTGCAAACACAGGTCAATCCAACTAACCAAACTTTTGAAGAGAGGCATTTGTGTTATATAAATAGCCCTTCTTAGCTACATCTTCCAGTCGTACTTGTAAAACTTGAATTGTAGAGAAAGTGTGAAGGAATTTAAATGATAAAGGGACAAAGATGCTTCCTTTAATTTTTTATATTAAGGTAATTGGGTTGTGAGTTTGTGAGACATGAAACTTTTCCTTGTTACTTCTTCCTTGGGTTCAAAAGTGGAAGCTTCTATATCATTATACCCACTAGAACAATGCAAACTGAAATTATGTAAGACTTCATCAAGACAGACAGTGTAATGCATAGAATTTTCATATCCTGTATTGTTCCACATTTGCTGCACACTATTGTACATTGAGTCATACCCACAGAGGCTCATTTGTTTAATTAAGGTTTTAATTCTCTTTATGCAGGTTTAAAAACTATGGATTTGAATTCTGAAAAGAGAGGAACCTTTTTAGGTTATAAAGATATCATAAGCAAGTAAGTTAAACTCTTGATTTTTGAGAACAAAATATTTACTCAGGATTAACATGAGTGAAACCACTGCTACCCTTGTTCATTTCCGTGGGACTTTGCAGTCTGAGGTAAAAATTTCAGAATATGCATCTTCTGAATGTTCCTTCTGGGAGGAAAGAGTTCTGTCCACCTTCTAGTAAAATACTCAGTTGTGAGGCTTGTAGGGGCTTTCAGAAAAAATGCAGTTGTTTTTAACTTTTAATTTTGTTTTGCATGTTTTAGAAAAACTGGTTTTAAAAATGTATAGAAAAACTTTTTTTGGCACATTTTAGAAGTAAGGGAGGGGGAGGACATAAGGAAAATTTTAATTAAAAAGATGTTTTTAACTTTTAATTTTGTATGTTTAGAAAAAACTTGTTTATAAAAATGTGTAGAAAAACATTTATTTTGCACATTTTAGAAGAAAGTGGCGAAGAGCATAAGAGAAATAATGACAAATTATTACATTGCAGGAAAATATGAACAAGTAGATAACTGGAGGGGGGAAGTACAACTTTTAATTTTTAAATTAATTTTAAAAGAAATTACCATTTTAAATTCAGGAAAGGTAAATACTTCTTTAAAAACAGACTTTAAACAGTGATAATTCTTCAAAGTAAAAATGTGTTTATTCTGTTCTGAGGCTAATTCTACTGAACTTAATTTTTTGTTCCATTTTGGTTTTTTCAGCCTTAGTAGATATTCCTGTCTTATTGTACATAATCAGCAAATTGGAGCTGACTTCCCCTGGACACACTTCTCATTAGTAATGGAATATGATTATTCTGAAAACTCTTGCTGGAAAAATCTGTGCAAAAATCTGAATGTTACTTACATGACTTTTAAAACCACCCTCCCTGAAACAATGCAAACAAGTAAGTGCTCTCCAGAATTCTAGTAAACAATTGGGCTGACATATGAAAGGAAAGCATTTTCTGTTCCCTAAAATACTATATTTGTGTGTCTGTGGAAGAGAAAGAGTGATAAATTATGAAGAGTAAAGCTAAGTAAATGGAGTTGGTTTATCTATACAGCAAGACAGGAAGGTGTTTTTCTTAAAGTGGGAGGTTGGTTTTGGTCAGGATAGTAGTAAATGTTGGTTGATAGAAGACTTGTGCCAAGTTCACAGGTGGTTTACAGTTAACTACAAGCTGTATCCACTCTTCCTCGTCCCAAGGGAATGTTGCTGTACATCTAAAGGAATATAAATGAAAGCTTAATTTCGGAGAGATTCAGAAGAGGTTTAATTTTGAAAAAAAAAAAAAACAACACATATTATGGAAACATTTTAATGGGGGTGGAGAAAAGGTGCATTTTTAAAAGATATGTCTGTTTAAACACCTAAACGTGTATTTGGTTTTTTTTCCTTATGGAACTAATATCTTACATACACAACAATGTTTTAGGGAATCACTGTGGCTCCTTTCTTCTGGAGGTACAGATTCCATATGTATTTCTGGCAACTGAAGGTCTTCTTAATATGCCCGATATTCTTCAACTTTTGGAATCCAAGTGAGTTAAAATAACATATTTAATCTTAATGACTATTTATTTTACGTTTTCCAGGACATCTGTCTTGTCCTACTGTATCATGTAGTAGCCACCTACTTGGCTATCAGGTAAATCGCTGCAATTACATTATTAGCATTTTAAGAGACAAGTAGATACTTTTTCTGCTGAAGAGAATAGCTTAATTCCATAGATTCACATAGGTGTGGAAACAGAATGGAATTGGATGACTTGTTTCTTTTAACAATGAGCTGGCACGTCTAACCAAAACAACTTTTAAAATTGTCTGCTATCCCTGAAACTTATAATGTTACCCCAAAACATTTTTTGTTTTAGTTCTTCTTGGTGCTTGGAAGATTTTGTATTAAATTCTTAATAAGATTTGCTTTTGAATTTTTTTCACTACAGAAGCTGTGCTAAAAAAAAAAAAAAAAAAAAAAAACAAACAACAGTAAAACATAAAACTTGTTTTATGTCGCATCATAGCTTTTGGGAGAGGCTAAGTTAAAAGCAAAAGCTACTTTATTTATACCATTTGGATCTAATATTCATTTTATTTTAAATATTTTTTAACCTCTGCAAAATTTTTCATGTTTGTAAAACATCGCACATGTGTATTATTTTCTTTGACATAACTTCCTTGCATTCGGCTTCTACAATAATAAATAACTGCTAAAAATACCCTTTATCAGGGGGAGGAAATAAATAAAAAAACAAGGGACGGAGCAGCAGCACCTCGTAAACACAGTGCCAGAGATACACGTTTGATTTCACCATGTGGCTGAAGGGATGAGCCAGTTTTGATCCTTGCTCTATCCTCAAGTCAGCTGTGAAGCCATTTTTTGAGCTGTAACTAATCATGGTTCAATATGAAAAAAAATTTACACGTTTGGCATTGAGAATTTGAACATGCTCTTCTAAACTCTGATCTCTTCAGCTTTCTTGTTCAGCCTGGCCATAAGCTAAATAGCCAGCAGTGCTTTTTGATACTTTCTCACTAGCTCCTTTTAGTACTGATGGAATAATAAAATAGGTAAGCAGAAAGCTATATAGTCTCAGAAAGACTTATAATTAACATTTTTTGTTAATGTCTGAATACACAGTCCATAAAAGTTTGTAGAGGGCTTAATGCTGGCAGATGGAGATTTATGCTTCGTGTGCTTCCTAGGGATGGGGCCAAGTAGTGTGGTAATTGTCTCTCCTCAAGTTCCCCACCACTAATCAGTCAAGACTGCCCCAGAGCCCTGAGCGTGCGAGGTCTGCCCGGTGGCGCTTTGCTAACGCGGGTGGTGCCAGGGGGCTGAGCTGCTTGCACTCCTCCTTCACTCAGAGGAGCTCAGGATCATACCAGTGGCAGCCAGGGAGTTTTCACTCAGTTTGCTTTCCCTGTGTTGTGCAATCGGGAAAGGAAGACAAGAAACACAATATACATTTAATTACTCAAAAAGGAGTATCTAAGTATCTTGATTTATCTACCGTTTTTCTTGATTTATCTATCTTAATTTCTGTATTATGTTTGGGGTTTTTTTTGTAAACACAAAGGCTGTATATCAAAGTCATATTTTATGGGGTTAGCAACATAATCTAATTAATCCAGGAATATGTCATTAAGGCACTGTTTTATTTATGTGTATTCTTCAACTATGTCTTAAAGTGAATTTGAGCATTTGGGAAAGATCAAGGTATGAATAGACTGTAATTTAAAATATTTATATATATATATGTGTATATATAAAGAGATGTAGGTTATTTGTTTCCTTTAAGAAATTCTTATTATTTTACTTAACTGAGATTTAATAGCGTGATTTTACTTCTTCAGGTACAGCATTACTTTTGTTGAAAGGAGCAGCAGTTACTCCTTGAGGCTCTTTGGAAGTACAGATCGATATGTTGTGCTGACAATAGATGAACGTACTGCTATCTTTTTGCAGGTACAAAATGAAACTAGTATGCCCAAATTCTGTTACATGTTAGGTCTCTTGTAGGCCTTATCTGCAGCATTCTAAAATATCTTTTCTTCCTCATAATCGTATTTAATTCATGCATTGTTTCACAACACAAATTATTTCCAAATCCAGTAACTCAAAAATTCTGCCTGTGCCAGTCTGGCTAGTGTAAAATGTTCCCATGTCTGTACTTACCTTTCTTTACAGAAGTGTAACTTTTGACCTGAGACTGGGTTGTACTAAATTTAGTTAAAGGATGCATACTTGAAAATAGGGTTGTATAAAGGAAAATTGCAATAACCAGTTAAATGTATCTGTCACTATATTCTCTTACCAGTATGCATGTCAATGCCTCCCATTTCAGAGAGTTTTCTGAATTAGTGTAGAGAATAGTTTTCTCTACTTCTAATAAAAAGTAACAGTTTAGACAATTGTATAATACTTAAACTCTGGTGTGCAGGAACAGAGAGCATCTTTACAGGCGGAAGAACTGCTACTGAAAGATAGATGAAGAGTAATATAATCAATTAGTACTGCAAGCACAAACAGATAAACATGCCTACATGCTACTGCAAATGCTACTGCAGTTAACGGTGTTGTCCTTTATATGTGCAGTGTAGGTGCAGTATGACTTGTATAGGTTAGGTAAGTACTTCAGACCTTTGTAACAGTGTTTAGTGTTATCAAAGGTCTCAGAAATCTTAGGAACATCCTAAAATGCTAGTTCCAGTGTTTCTTTTTTGCAAGAGGGAAAAAAGACGCATGAAACAGTGAATCAGCTTTTTAAAGGTCAAACAGAATAAAAGCAGGGAGTGCAGCCTGGTTTTCCTGGCTCCCAAACATGTCATTAATCGTGATATTATTTAGCTCTATTTGTGTTTGATCTAACTTCAGCATAATACAGTGGTATACTTTAAGTTTTTGTGACAGGCGTGGTAATATATTTATTTAGCTTTTACATTTTATATTAATTTTCTGGTAGAGTATGGAAGAACTAAATTATGAGAAATCCTGTGACTATCTGGTGTCAAAGCTTATTGCATTATCGCTCCAATACATGTGCTGCTGGATTGTTTTCTACTCCAGAGAGCGACTGAGTCTAGAGTAAGTTACAAAATTCTTTTGATATCTTGGTATTTGTAAAACAAACTTAAAATAAGAACAAGCTAACACTCTGGATTTTTTAAATTTCTCTGTAGGAACACATTTCTCTTAGAAAAGATGTATATTCTCAGGTCATATTTTTAGTAAGCTTTGAACTTTTCGCTCAGTTACAATGTTGCCATGCTAAACCTTGACACTCCCACTGAAAACTCATTGGAATGATTGAAGTAGCAGTGACCACTGGAGACCCCAGAAAAAATAGTTAGCAATGTCATTTGTTATGTGTTAGGATCTTTTTTAGTCTTACACAAGAGGGAAATACTTGTTATAAAATAACAGGATTTGAGGCAGGTAGTACTTAACATGAGGTGTATTTCAAATCAAAAGGTCCAGAAATTTCATAAGAATAACATTAACCACTGGAATGATTTATGACTGAACTAAATGAACTCCTACAAATATATGGTTATGTATTACTCTGTTAGCATCTCTGTATATCATTTGAAACAGGGACACATTCAAGTGTTTTTCCAATCCATCAATAGTTCTCCTTTTGCCATGGAAGCACAGCTGTTGTTGATGTAGCACATAAGCATTTGTTACAAACGGGTACCGAAAGGGCACTGGGTCAGGCCAGTTGTGACTTTAACTGTGAAAAAAG